TGCCAACGTGGGCCAGTGAAGCAACGTCCTCCACAACTAGACTGAAGAACAAAATGACAGCAACTTGTCTGTTCCCCTTCCCCCAATTCCCCAACACTGTTCCCATCCCCCCAATTCCCCAATAAAAATCTTTAAAAAAAAAAAAAAAGAGAGAGAATGAGAAAGGTTCCGAAAAAGTGCTTAAGAGACTCTTAAAACCTTTAGTACTTGTTTGAAAGGTGGGAAATGGTCAGGTATTGGACATATTTTTTTGGAGGAGACGCTTGAGCAGATTTTCTTTAAAGAATGTTGTGCTCTCTTAATCTCAAGCCACTAGAAAGGCTTTAAGGATACCTCCCACTGAGCTGTGTATGTTCCCCAAAGGGTTTGTGGAGATGGAGTAGATAGGCGCCTGAGTCACCCCTGAGAACACAAAAGAGTAAGAGGCTGGCTGAAGTGACCTATGGCCGCAAGAAAGAGACAAGAGCTTGCGCTGATTTGATAGGTCCAAGAATGCAAGCAAGAGCCAGTGTAGGTCTGTGCCAGGTTATTCCAGGCAGGCTACCCGGGAGGATCATGGGACCTCAGCAGAAGGAAGTAGAAAATGAGCGGCCAGATCCCTAGGGTCTGGGAAAGGAGTCACAACAGACCAGCTGGAGAGGATTCAGCTGGATTCAGCCATATCAAGAGAACCACAGGTGAGAAACTTCCATCAGTCGGGGTTGGGAGAAACTCAAAGAACCCAGAAAATTACCCACGACAGAGTCCATTTTAATCAGTACTGAGCCCAGAAAGCACATATACATGTATATGCTCCACATATACAAAGGCACAATACTTCCTGCCAAAAGAGCCATCTGGACCCCCTTATTTCTTCTTCTTCCTCCACCCCCAAAATGGCACTTAGCCAGCTGCAGGAGGACAGGAAAGAGAAAAGAACTGATGCTCTCTTCCTCAAGTGCAGGTTTCTAGGTGTGGGGGAAGCCCATTATTTTAATTCAAGCTTAGTGTTTTGACTATTGCACAGGCTTAGACTTTTTCTATATATGCTAAATTTAGTCAGTGTCTAGAAAAGTCAAGGTCTATACCCAAGCTCCCTTACAGAGTCAGAGAAAGAAGTAACTCTTCTGAATAAATTTAAATAAGACAAAGGACAATACTTTCAATGTATTACCAGTAACACTCCCCATGGATATTTTCCCAACACACTAGTTACGCATATCATTAATATTTTCCCATTAATCATAAGGCACCTGAAAATTTCTCTTCTCTAGAGGGGGAAAAAAAATCACTGGGAACTTTTTTGCAACTAACATTTGTTTAAATGCATTATTAGCTTCAGAGCACAAATCTGTCAATCTAGAAGTTCTGGGTAAAGGATAATGCCCATTTCAAACCCAAGATAGTTGTTGCCAATTGTTTTCTCCATTAAGATTGGTTTTTATATAGACATTTCTCCAAAGAGGACATACAGATGGCCAATAGATATATGAAAAGATGCTCAACATCACTAGTCATCAGAGAAATGCAAATAAAAACCACAATGAAATAACACCTCACACCAGTTAGAATGGCTATCATCAAGAAGACAAATAATAACAAGTGTTGGAGAGGCTGTGGAGAAAAAGGAACCCTTATACACTGTTGGTGGGAATGCAGACTGGTGCAGCCACTATGGAAGGCAATGTGGAGGTTCCTTAAAAAATTAAGAATAGAATTATCATATGACCCAGCAATCCCTCTCCTGGGTATCTACCCCCAAAATCTGAAAACATTTATCCATAAAGATATATGTGTTCTGATGTTCATTGCAGCTTTATTTACGGTGACCAAGACATGGAAACAACCAAAGTGTCCTTCGATAGATGATTGGATAAAGAAGATGTGGTACATATATACAATGGAATATTATTTTGCCATAAGAAAAGATTAAATAGTGCCAATTTCAACAACATGGATGGATCTTGAGATGATTATGCTAAGCGAAATAAGTCAGACAGAAAAACTCGAGAACCATGTGATTTCACTGATATGTGGGATATAAAACTGAAAACAACAAAGGAACAAGACAAACAAATTAAGAAACAAAAACTCATTGACACAGACAATAGTTTAGTGGTAACCAGAGGGTAAGGGGAGAGGATGGTAGATGAGGGTAAAGGGGGGTCAAATACATGGTGATGGAAGGAGAACTGACTTTGGGTGGTGAGCACACAATGTGATATATAGATGATGTATTACAGAATTGTGCACCTGAAACCTATGTAACTTTACTAAACATTGTCACCCCAATAAACTTTAATAAAAAAAAAAGATTGGTTTATTCTACCAACAAGGCACACATTTTGTCTCGCCATAAGAGGGAAGTTCTCTCCCATTTGTTACCACACAGAAGACTATCAGTACAGCATAGGACAAAGAACAAAATATGGGCACTGGGGTAAGAGAGATCTGGGCTTGAAACCCAACCCCAACATGTTTATCTTAATATAAGTCATGTGATTGGCCAACTACCTAACTTCTCAGAGCCTCAGTTTCCCCATCTGTAAAATGGGGGTGATATTAGTATCCACATTACAAATGTTGAATATATGAAGCATTGAGTACAGGGCTTGGCACACAGAATGAGCAAAATAAATGTTGGCTATTATTATTAGTAAGCTCAGACTCTTTTCTTGTCCAAAGGGGTGAAAGTTATTTAATTTCATTGGCTTAGTTGTAGTCTTTTTTTTTTTCACCGTTTAACCCTATTTGGAATTAATTCTGGTGAGTGGGTGAGATTCTATCCTTCATTCATCTGTCCTAAATTTATTTGTCCCACAAACATGTATATTAAGTGACTACTGTAAGTCAGGCAGTATTCTAAACACTGAGAATATGGTTATGGATGAAGCTGATAAAAATCCCCGCCTTCATAAATCTTATATTCTAATAGAGGGGACATACAATAAACGAGATATGTAAAAGAAAGACATAATAATAAATGGAGATTGATGTGAAGGAGAAAAAGTGAGAGAGGGTCTGGGACCTGGCACAATATATGAAATAGGTACTGGCTATTATTTTAGGAAGCTCCCTCTTGGTGACATTTAGGGTTCTGAGGAGGAGATTAAGCACACTTTAAAAAATTTCCCAATCCTTTGCCCACTCCTCTCTCACTTCTAAACTGGTGATTCAGGCTACAAAGACAAACAGAAAATAAGATAAAAGAAACAAAGACAAAGAAGTGTTAATACTCTGAATTATATGGCCACAGTGGAGTAATTGTTTTTTTCAAATATTCCCTCAAAGTATTTTTGCTTCAATGTTTTCAACCAAGCAGAAGATAACCTACATGCATTGGTTGAAATCCTTCAAATGCTCAAAAGCAGGCACAAAACCTAGAGACAGTTTTAAAGGTACAAAGCTCTTTGGAAGGGCAAAACTTATCTTCCTCTTGGCATACGTGAAAAAATAAAATCTGAGGCATATGAAGCCTTAAATGGGTTGGCTTTAACTTTTAAAAAAACTATTATTTGGAAATAATTTCCAAGTTAAAGAGTAAGACTAGTACAAAGAGCATCTGAATACTATTTGCTCGGATTCACCTATTTTAAGTGTTTACCTCCGATTACCTCCTTTCTCTCTCTCTCTCTCTCTCTCTCTCTCTCTCTCTCTCTCTCTCATATATCATGTCCCTTCTTTAGGAATAATGCTTCAGTGAGTATTAACAAAAAAGACATTCTCTTACATGATCATAGTTCAATTGTCAACTTCACTAAATTTAACATTAACACTTTTATCTAATCTACCATCAGTATTCCATTGTATAAATTTACCCAGTAATGTCCTTTGTCTGTTACGATGTTGAAATTTCTGAAGACTTAAAACACAAATACAGCCAATCATTTCTTTCAACTCAACATTCCTGAGTTGGGGTTTGTCTGAAATTTCTTCAGGATGAGTGAGACTCAGGTTATGCATTCTCATTGGAAATACTATGTAGGCAATGCATAGTGTCCTTCTCAGGGTGTCACACATGAAGGGACATGGTGTCCATCCATGTCATCTTTCTCTGTCTCAATTTCTCCATTTGAACAAGGACAATAATTTCTTCTCTAGAGGAATGGTGTTGGGATGATCTGGGCACCCGATTTGCACAGGGAACTCATCTAACCACGCCACCAATGAAAGTGTGTGCAGGCTCACACTTTCAGCTCTGGCACTCTGCTCTCCACGTACCTTCAAAGATGTTCAAGTTGGAAGCACTGGTAATTGACGGATGGTTCTTCTTCCTGGTGTCTGGGAACTGCAGAGCTCCTTCACAAGGGGCAGATGATGAGCAGAACAGATTTCAAAGACTCAGAATGTAACCATGGTTCTGGTTTGGTAGATCCGTGGGTTCTGCCCCAAGCCATAAACTGGGAGCGTATAGAACACTGTCACTGAATTCCATTCAAGGAGTACTTTCTTTTTTAAGCTTCTACCTGTATTGCTGCAGGTAATACAGGTAGAAGCAGAACACTGTGGAATTACAGGAGCTTCTCTTCTCGCAACATGCACATTTCCTGGAAGCCTGGGTGATTGTAGAGGTGGGGGAGGACCTGTATATCTATTTTTTCTCCAACATTTATATGATGACTTAAAAAAATTTTTTTTATAGCTTCAGGTGTACAAAACAGTGCAATATACTTTTCACCCCTCACAAAGTGACAACCCCCTCCCCAACCTACCCCTTCCCCCCGATACTATACATATCTATTATAATTCCTTTGACTCCACTCCCACACTATACTCCACATCTCATGACTATATATATATATATATATATATATATATATATATATATATATTCAATTATAGTTGACGTACAATATTATTCAACGTCAGATTCAGGTGTACAGTGCAGTGATCAAGCCTCTACTCCATCCATGAAGTGGTCTCCCTAACAAGACATGTGACCACCTGACACCCTACAAAATATTTACAACGTTATTGATTACATTCCCCAAACTCTCTTTCATATCCCTGTGGCAATATTGTAGCTACCAATTTATGCCGTCTAATCCCTTCCTTTCTCCTTCATCCCCACCCCTCTCCCATCTAGCAACCATCAGTACCGTATTTGCCGGCGTATAAGACGATTTTTTGGCCCTGAAAAATATGCCTCCAAGTGGGGGGTCGTCTTATATGCCAGGTACACTTCAGATAGACTGCCCATAGTGCTTGCCCCGTGCCATAGTGGCCTCCCGATGCCCGCCCACTTCATTCCACATACCGTCAGGCATCAGCAGCGCTGCTGGGTGTATGCTCGGCTGTTATGCGATTTTGCTGTTATGCGATTTTACCACACTCGCAAAATCGCACACAGCCGACCATACACCCAGTATGATAGCGCAAAATCGCGAATCGCGATTTATGTATATGTTTGATTACATACAGCCTTGTGACAGTTTTCCTGCATGTCATAAGCATTTGAATATAAATATAAATGTTGAAATCAAATCTGATATTGTTTTACCTTTTATTTGGTGTGTGGAAGGTGTGCGGAAGAGGGGGTAGTCTTATACGGCGAGTATATAACAAACTCTGTATTTTGAGTGGAAATGTTAGGGGGTCGTCTTATACGCCCAGTCGTCTTATACGCCGGCAAATACGGTAGTTCTATATCTCTGAGACTATTTCTGTTTACATTGCTCATTTATTCAGTTCTTTAGATTCCACATATAAATGAGATTATATGGTATTTGCCTTTCTCCAACTGACTTATTTCACTTAGCAAAATGTAAGTGATGACTTTTGTAAAGCCCTATCCATCTCTGTATTAGTTTCTCCACTGCTAGCATCAGCCTAACACTACATCGTCACCCATGTCCTGTGGCTTCTGTGCTGATGATAAGAGGAGTTCAGAGGGAACACCTTCCTCCAGCCACATCGTGAATGGCCCCTCACTCCCTTGGGCCTTGGGCATGTCACTTAACTTCTCTGCGATTCATTGTCTTCCTTGTAAAGCAGACTTATCTGAGCTTCACAAAGAGAATGGGGAGAAAGGGACAAGGTCAGATGAAGTTTAAGAAGCGGCACCTTGGGGGCCTCCTCCTCTGTGCTCCAGGGTCTAGCCTCCGCCTGTCTCATGTTAACTAGGCCCTTCTGACTGCAGGGTGAGGAACATTCTGTTTAGCATTGGGAGATGCAACACATGAGCAGTTTCTCCCCCTGGGAGTGCTGGTTCAGTGAGCAGAGCAACAAGGGGGCTGAGCCCTGGGGGCCTGGCAGGGGTGCGTGGGCCAAAGGGAGAGCGAGCAGAGAAGCATGACAGGGACAGAAAGACCAGGGACCCGATCCTAGAAAGGCGGGAACACTCTGGGGTGTGTCCTGGGTCCTCCGTGATCACAAGCACTGGGAAGAAACCAGGCAGGTCGCTGGATGTTTGTTCTGGTTTATTTGACAGGAACAAGTAGTTCAGACAGTGGGGAGGGTGACATTGCTGTTGACACTCCTGTGCCTGGGAGTTGAGGTTCTTGTGCTTTGGTGGCAGCCACAGTCTTAAACAGAGGGTTGGGGGAGCCGGATGCACAGCCCAGTCCCCTCTCCCTCTCAGAGGATGTTCAGGCAAACATTCCCGCAGAAGGTTGAACAGCATATGTTATTTGCTTGGCATTCTTGGTGATATTCACAGTGGTGTTTGCACATCTGTATTTTCACTCTTTTCTCACACTCCTTGATTTCTGTGGGTAGCTGCATATCTGAAATTGAGTAGGAGCAGGGTCAAGGAAACCAGCCCGTACAGAGTACCCCTTTCAAGCGTATAGCCTCTTCCAGGACCCCGTCTCCCATGTTAGTCATGACCTTAGTGAAATCACCCCCATAGAATCTGCACTCTGACCCTGAAAACTCAGTGAAGTCTGAGACATCTGACAAATCCTCTCACTTTCCCGAATTTGCAGGGTCCAGCGATGCACTTGCTTCTCCCTCCCCCACCCCCTCTACCCTTGTCATTGTCACAGTCAGCATCCCTGCCCCTCTCCCAAAATAACACTTTTCATATTTCTCTTCCATTGTCACCATTCTGGCCCCTCTGATGATAACTTTAACTTGATCCTGTACACCCCAAAATCTAATTTCCCAATGTCCTTTCATTCTACACCTCCTTTCATAAACACCTTTGGATGTTGACCTGTTACATATGTGCATAAATCAAAGAATAGTTGTTTTGTTTTCCCTTCTGATTCTCAGCCCTGTGCACCTTTCACTATTGTATGTACCATATGTCTCTGGGTTTTGGGAATGGAGATTAAAAAGATACAGGTTCCCCTCCACCCCATCACTAGCCCCATGGCCATTAAAGGGGCTGGAAGGCCATGGTTTGGGAGGATCCAGAACGTTCACAGTGCTGTGGTCAGAGCAGGATGTGCTGAAAGGTTCCAATCCCAGGTCCTCCCTCAGCTGGACACGGCCCCTTCTTCCTCCTCCCCATCATGGCCCCCAGCCCATCACCTACTCTGCATTCTCTTCCAGTTACGGGGCCCTCCCTGGGCCTGCAGCAGCAGCACACAAAGAAGCAGGATGGGCAGCAGTGCCCGGGTTGGCATGACCCTGGCCAGAGCAGTGAGCTCTAAGTCTGGCACAGACTTCCCTGGAGAGCTGGTGTGAGGAGGGAAGGAAAGAAAGGCAGGCTATCCTGGGCTCCTCCCAGCCTGCACTGGCCAGGCCTGGGCACGAGAGTCCTTGTTCCCTCCCCTGAGCCTGTTCCTTCCGTGGCCTGTTCTACGTGGGCCTTGGGCTTCTGCAGAGATGGCTCCTCCTCTCGCATAACTAACCCTCTCTTTTTGCAAACATAATTTTTTTCCTGAAAAAAATTATGTAATGTTTTCTGTATTTTAATGACAATATAATTTGTAGAAGAAAAAAAGTAATTAAAAAATAATGATAATCTCACTGCATGGAATTAACCTGTGTTTCATTGTATAGTGAAATCATGTCTGATTTCTTATCCTTTTCCATCTGACTTATTTCACTTAGCATGATACTGTCAAGATTCATCCATGTTTTCATAAATGGCAGTATTTCATCTTTTCTTATGGCTGAGTAAATATTCCATGGTATCTATGTACCATATCTTCTTTATCCAGTCATCTATCGAATGACACTTAGGTTGTTTCCATGTCTTGGCTACTGTGACTAGTGCTACAGTAAACATAGGGGAACATATATCTTTACGAATAAATGTTATCAGATTTTGGGGGGTAGATACCCAAAAGAGGGTTTGCTGAGTCACATAGGAACTCTACTCTCAATTTATTTTATTTGTTTAACATTCAATATTATTTTATATTAATTTCATTGATACAGCATAGTGGTTAAACATTTATGTAATCTACTCTTAATTTTTTGAGGAACCTCCATACTGTTTTCCATCGTGGCTGTACCAATTTACATTCCCCCCAGCAGTGTATAAGAGTTTTTTTTCTCCACGACCTTCCCAACACTTGTTATTACTTGTCTTGCTCTTACTTGTCAGGTGTGAGGTGGTATCTCATTGTGGTTTTGGCTTGCATTTCCCAGATAGCTGGTGAAGTTGAGCATCTTTCTATATATCTGTTGGCCATTTGTATGTCTCCTTGGGAGAAGTGTCTGTTCAGGTCCCCTGCCCATTTTTTAATTGGATTGTTTGTTTTTTGTTGTTGAGTTATATGAGTTTTTTATATTTTTTGGTTGTTAGCCCCTTACGAATGTATCATTCACAAGTATCTTCTCTCCTTCGGTTGGTTGCCTTGAATTT